AGGGCAAGAAGATGCCACACGGGTATCAACTTGCGTTCGCGTCCATATTCTGTGGTGATGCCATCCGATAGAACTCCGTCTACACTGACTGTCGTGTTCTTTGTTGCTGGGGAAAGCGCGCGTTTGGCGATTTTGATTGCACCGGGGATGTCTCTTGTTTCTGCGAGCACCAAAGCGAGAGCGTATAGGGCTTCAACGTTGTGTTCGTCGCCTAGATTAGGCGAGAGTGACTTCCTTAGATACTGCACAGCTTTGGCCTGGATCGTGGCCCGTGCCTCAACGTCGTAAGTGAGCCGTGCCCAGTGTGCTTGACTGATGCCAATGGCGCAATAGGCGGCAGCTAGGGCCGTGGGTTCGACGAAAGACGTGCTCGAAGCAATTGAGCGGGTATCAGACGTTGAGCGAAGGTGATCTGCCTGCTCCAACCAGTGCTCGATACTGTGAGCAATCTCGAGAGCCTTTTCGGCGTCATGCCTAGATCCCCATCTGCAGAGCATCCTGATGGCCTCGGCGGAAGTCCTCAACACCGTGCTGTCGTCGTCAATGCCAGCCTCGAGTTCGCCTGACTTCTCCGATCGATCCTTGTTGCGCGTGATGATCTCGACATACGAGTCGTAGGCTTTGTATGCCAACTCAGGCTCGGCTAGAGATGCGTGGACAACGAAGAGGTTGCGCAGGATCTGGGTCGAGTGGTATGTCTTGGTGGCTGCTCGATAGAGGATCTAGAGCTGTCAGATTCTACCCGTGTTGCAGTAACATGATAACTTACATCAAGCACGCCTCGCGCGACACCCTCTTTTCCTCCCTCACCTAGATCATCGTCGCTCCACGTAGGACCGCAGAGGAGGCGCCAGTTGTCCATGACGGAATCCACCCATGTTTCGACTTCATGATTGGTCTCGCTGGCTTTTGGGAAGTGTGTCTCTCGTATCAACAGGTTCTCGTAGACAGCCTCGACGCGTTTCAGCTCTGCCCGCTGCCGTAATCGAGCGTCTGACTGGGCGGTAGGCGTTGGCTTCTCTTGTATGATGGGCGTAGAATCGGGTTCGTAGGCGAGATCATAGCGGAGGATCGTTGATAGCGAGTCGTAGTAGGCCTTCCATGCTAATCTTCGATACCGTGCTGAGTTGCCTACGTCTGATGCGGCATTCTTGGAAGTTGCATCCCAGAACTTTGCCCAGTAGCGGTAGGTGCGCAAAGCCTCGGACGCGTTGATTCGCTCGCTGAGGCCCATGGACTGGTCGGACAGCTGACAGAGGCGGACGAGAGACTGTTCTCCCCACATCTTGAACTGGGCCGATTCGGTGTTCGGGGTGGTGGTCGTGGACAGCCAGGGTATTATTGACGAGTAGATGGTGGCTGCCTCACCAATCGCACCTGTCTTTTCGAGCGCGGAGCCTAAATCACGTCAGTTCCCGGGCCAGAATGAGGTCACACAGTATGGCTCTACCCTTGAGATATGTGCCCTTGACCAGACACACCCGAGACCAGCCGCTCAGCGTGCCTGCTTCGCCCGACAGCTGGGTCGCGACTGCCCCAAAGTCCTGTGGAAGCCGCGCAACTGCCAGTCCCGGCTCGTCCAGCACGTAATGAGCCCAGCCGAGGCAGACGTTGGCCTGGAAAGCGTCTTGACCCTGCGTGCCATCTTCTTCAATCGTAGCGAGCAACGAGGGTATGATCTGTGACAGGCCGGTGGTGGAGGCGGCAGAGGAGGCGGTCGAGGGCCTCTTGGTGCTGTGTGCGGCTATCTGGGCGTCGGAGCGCGCTGTGAGGGTGAGGCCTTGGGTCGCCGTTAGCCCTCAGAAAGACCAAACAGAGAGGTTTGCTGACATCGTCGGTGCGGCGCATGCTTCTCGACCTTGCGACACAGCTCAGGCACGTCGGCCCATCGTCCAGCGCATCGAGCCTCGTCCAGCTGCTGTATGTAGCGCTTGGCCTTTTCGCTCTCAGGGGGGGTCTGTAGGTCCTGTAAGCTACCGTTGTTGAAGATGACGTTGCTTCGGCGCCAGGGGAGAGGGAGGACAGCAACCGCGACATACCACCATGGTGCTAAGAATATGCCTTTGGCTCTGGACAGGGTCGCGATGTCTGTAGAATCATGTTCGACGAGCAATACTGAATGCGACGACGCCGGCCATGGCTGTACACATGTCACTGACCGACTGCACAGGTCCCACTCTTCTGTGCAGTTGGCCCGCACATCCCTGCAGCTCTAGCGCGTGCGGTCCGACGCTAACTCCGGGCCTTGAACTTTTTTCTACCAGCCATCGACAACAACCATTCCGCTGGTCAGAGACGAGCTGATCAAATCAATAACCCGGGGAATCGCCATAATCATGGCGCCGATTGCTTCCGAACTGGCGACGCTGCGAGCGCTCAGTTTCCGCATCTCGTCCACGCCAACATCCCAGCTCCCCCAACACGTGCCTGCCATAGCTGCGTCATTAGCCAATTGCAGGGCCCTCCTCTCTTCGGCCCAGGCCTCAGGTACCAAAGCGACGTCCTCGGAAGCATCCGTCGCTATACACAAGTACCGGACTCTACTCACCACTCTGCTTCAAGATCGCACTCCCCAAGGAAGATGGTGCGCCATAGTCCTGATCAAGGCCACGATTGAAGTCGGGGGTTGGGAGACTCTGCAGAAGAGTTTGCCATGGGTGCGTGGTCTTCTAGGATTCTTGAACAAACCGGATTCGCCGTCGTCAAAGAAGCTCTGCATCATCACCTTGACGCGCATCTTCCTTCTGACCAGAGAGTACCCGACGTTGATCCGCGAAATCACTACTCCGTCGCTATCACCTTTCGTCCAAGTCTGTCTACAGATAGCGAATGCCAAAGCTACCCCTGCCAATTTGCTACAGATTGTCCTAGAGAGCTTCAACGAGCTGCTGCCCCGACACCCTACCATCTTCCGGTCTTATCTAAAGCAACTTTACCCTCTTCTTGGACGTCTCATCGCACCTACGCCATCTGATAAACTCAGCAAAGAGCAGCGAACTGGAACCAACCATGGAGTTTGTTCGGATATTGCAGCTGCGGCGCGCCAACTCTTCGTCCAATTACCTTGCTGTGCACCAAAAGGAGCTTCGAGTGAAGAGTGGACAAAGGCTGTTAAGAACATCACAAACGTCACTCATCAGACGACAGACCGCGTGTTCCGCGCCGTGATTGAAGACTGGCAATCGACGGCACGTGAAGCACCTCTTTCGAACGGTCACACACTGGATGACGAAGTTCAAGACCTGGAGCCGGGCTCAGATCTATCCGCCTGGTCGGGAATCTTCGCTGGTGGCGAACGCTTGACAGGCCTTCTCTACGTCATCAAGGAGTACATCGAAAGCCCCACGGCGAACACTGTCCATCTCAACGTTGGCATGATCGTTGACCTACTCTCGAGAATGCTTTCCCTCACCATTCCCGTGGCCGCGAGCAAGAACTTCCAAAACACTGTACGTCTAAACGCTCAAGTCAGCAAGGACGAGCGTGAAAGTCTTTGGCTATTGTTGCCAGACGTACACGTTGCCGCGATTGAGGTGCTTCTTGCTCTAGCACACAGATCCCAGAGCAGCACGTTGGCACTCGACCCTGCTATCATTGACCAACTTGTGTGGGCATTCAGTGCGGAAAAAGAGACTGCTCAGATTAGAACAGCATGCTACACGGCGATTGCTGCTTTGTTGAGGAGATCTGGAGTCGCTCTTCATAAGACTACCATCGATTCCCTCGTACCTCTCATTCGCGCTTGCTGCGACGATCTACTACCGCCTGAGACCGCGGCGCCTACAAACCAACAGAACCTCGGTCAGGCCAAGGCCAATGGCAACAGTCAGCCCCAGACCACTGCCAACGCCGATAGCTTCCTTGGCGCTGCGAAGAACGCCGGCGGCCCCAACGCTGGATTCCCTGGACTCCAACAAGCCGCGCACGATATGCTTCCGGTTCTACTCTCAAGCATTCCGGCTCAATGCCTATCTGACTCAATGCGCGCTCGTCTGGACCGTACCGCTATTCTCACCCAGCACAAGGACGCCATGGTAGCTAGCGTGCTGAACCCACCGCCAAGCAAGAAGTTCGGAAAACCCGCAGCAAGCATACTACCACTCATGGCTCGATCGTTCTCCGCCGAGATGGATGTAGAGGGTATGCTCAGACCAAGGATGCCAGTCATTCGCCTGGGTGGCAAGGATCTGGAGTTGGACGATGGCAACGATGAAGACGAAGAGATGGAGGTTGAGGATGAAGAAGTTGAAGAAGAAGAGCAGCAAGCTCTGGAGCAGGCGGATGACCACTTTGCTGGACAAGAGTTGGACAATCTGCTGGAAACCGCTGGACAATCAGATACGGCAGCGAAGGATTTTGCTATGGAAGACGCGCCAACACCCAGCAAACCCGACCTTTCGACTCCACGATCAGTTCGCAAAGGTACGCTTGCGCAACGCCCTAACATCTCCGAACCTACCGCATTCAGCGAAACCAAGCGGCCGATAGGCGAAGAAGGTCCTCTTTCGCCTTCCAAGCGAGCAAAGACTGGCGAAGACGAGCAGCGCACAACACACCCCATACCTCCTGCGCCAACAGCGTCTGTATCTTTCAGCAAATCTACTCCAACTGCGGAGGTAGCCGCTACGTCAGATTTCGCCGCTACCAGCACCGCCTCGGCTGTCCCTGAACTCCCCGAGCCAGGTGAAGGAGACCTCGACGACGAGGACAGTGACGATGACAAGATATCGCTTGTACTTGGAGTTGACACGGACGACGAGTCTGATTAGCGCTTGTCTGGAAACAGTTGTTGTATAGTCGCCTTGGCTTGCGAAGATGTAGTGAAGTAATAATAACAAGCGCAGTCCCTGCACGGACATATATCTCGACCTCGCAGTGACCGATGATTTCCTCATACTAGTCCCTACAGCCCGCGCCTTTTCCAGTAACCTCCGTCTACAACGCCCTCGTCTCCGCAGCCGCAACACCGCCCACCGCCCACCACCTACCCGTCCGCAACAATGACACAACCTCCCCAACGCGCACCCGCCAAACGCACCGTCCCCAAGATCTCCGCCCCCAACCCCCCCGCGGCCCCATCAGCCAAGCAACCCGCAAAGCCCCAGAAAGAACAGCGATACCCCTTCGACTCGCACCAAGACGACATCGTAGTCAACACCACTGAACTCGACACCGCTCCCGGCTACAGGCGTGGTCTAGTGGACTACCGGCATAAACTCACGCTGAAGAAGACGTATAACCATATCACGACGGACTATGCGGAGGATATGAAGATGACGATTCCGAAAGATGCGGTTACGCCCTTAGGGTCTTCACCGTTTATTGATGGGGATGAGGGTGACGATGAAGATGAGGATGAGGATGAGAACACCAACACCAACGCCAAAAACCCCAAGTCCAAGCGCGACGAACGTACCTACGTCCCAGAAATCAGCGACACAATCACCGACTACACCAAGCTACCCAAACCGCGCTGCAACCGCCCTAACTACGTAGAATACATCTACCGCACTACTACCACCAATCCCGCTGTCTTCCTCGCTATCCTACGTGTCGCAGAGCGGAATCTGCCGTTTATAAATTTCGACTCGGCGATTACGCATCTACCTAATTTATTGGCGAATGCGAGGCTTCCTGGTATACCGCCGCTCTCAGCTCTGTCGCCTGATTCATCTGAAGCGTTGGGCGCGTCCGCATCGGAAAACCAGCCGGGGAAAAAGAAAGCCAACCAGCCCGCTTTCACAGAAGACACACCCCACTCGAAGAAAGACGCAGACACGGCAATGACAATCCTTTTCTTGCCGAACCTATACGAAGACGGGCGCCACGCACTCGGGTACTACGCCCTCGCCCCGGAAGCAGATCCAGACACTAAACAACTCAACCCGGAAGACGTCGTTCAGATCCTCTTCACGCCCTGCGGGATAGCTGATTTAGTAGAAGCGAAGTTGTTGGAATGGACGCCTATTGATCCTGATCTTAAGGCACGGGCTGATGAGAAGAAGAGCGCTGACAAGAAGGGCGATGGGGTGGGAGGTGGGGATGGGGAGGGGGCTGGGGATGGGAAGGAAGGGGATACTGGAGATGTTGGGGAGGAAGAAGAAGAGTTGACTGTCGAGTACATAGAACATGTGGCTGCGAGGGGAGGGGAGTGGTTAGAGAGGGATGTAGTGGGGGATTGGGAGGAGTGGTGTAGGAGTTTTAGGGTTGCGAGGAGGGTTTGGGAGAAGGTGCTTAAGGGGGTTGTGGAGGTTAGGGAGGTGGAGGATGTGAAGGAGGAGGCTGAGGGATGAGGTTAGGGCAATTCAGCGGGCTGATGACGACTCGCAGCAGAGTTCTTCGACGAGGCGACTTCTTGTTAAGTCGCGATACGCATATGTATATGATGTGGTGAGCAGTAGTACATATCGTATGAGCAGATTGTGAAAAGGACTTCGTTGTACGATGAGCGTGATTCTACTGTGTAGATATGTGTCAGTCCAAAGACCGCGCTCAGGACGGCGATGGCCATTTCAGAGGTGTCACCCATCTTCATTCGACGCCTTCATCTTTCTCTCTTTCCTTTCCTCTTTCGCACGTGGTTTTTCGTCTCGTTGGCGATGCGGCAGTCGTAGTGGCTCATCACCCACCCCTTCAAGTGCCGGTATTTGCTTCGCCCACATGTCTCGTATCCGCGTCGGAGGAGCGCTTGGTTCCTTATTGTTCTTCAGCGTCACGAGCTTTGCATCGATGTTCAACTCAAAGCGACTTCTTCCGATGAAAATCTCTCTTGAAATCGAAATCCAGGCCTTGAGGCGAGCCGTTCCAACAACGCCGAGCAGGACGTTTTCTGAATCGCACAGTGATTCGAGTGGTGTGGTCATACAAGCATCTCTAGACTCAAACTCTAGGTTGACCGTGGGAACTGTCCGTTCTTGTATCATGCCAAAGTCTCCGGGTTGTAAGTTTGCTGAGATGCTACATTGTAGTTGTCCGGGAGAGGGCTGACTCCAGTCCACGCAAAACCGTCCAGCGTGTGTACTGGAGAAATCTATACTGCCGAGACGGGATGTAGCGTCGGGCAGGTGCCCGGCGAGTAGAGGCGGTAACGATGTGACATGAAACCCCAGTTCGTGGAAGATTGGAGATACGTTGACGCGTATGGGCGCTTTAGCATGGCGCTGTTTTTGATTGGTGGCCTTTTCGCCGACGAGGGTGATTCGAGCTCGCTTCATGTTGCTGGGATCGTAGCGTAATCCCTGGGATACCCATATCACTACAACAATTAGCTGCTTCCCTTTAAGCATATGGTTTTCTCGGGAGCGTACGTTCTTCGGGTTTCAGCTGGCGGTCGGTTACCAGAACAGCCTCCGTAGGATGCTTCGACCCTAGCCGGAAAAGAGTGACATCACCGGAACTTCGCCGGAAGATTAGCTTCTTTCTATGCACAGGTGACAGTAAGATAGCCGGTCTCATGGAAGGATCTCCATCTATTGAGCAGTCCAGAATGCCAAGGTAATCATCTCGAGGCGTAAAGGCACTGCTTTCTTCCAGCGGACATATGAGCATGTCGATGGATAGCGTGGTCCCAGATAGACTCGTGTGCGTACCGCGAGTCGGCATATGCATATTTAGTATCTCATCGCGGAAGAATGTAGGGTGTGGTGCTAGTAACGGCGACTGTTCAATAACAAAATCCTCTGACAGATCCGACCGGAAAGCCAATATGGAATGATCTGACGATATGCCAAGGATAGCTTTTTGTAGTCGGTAGAAAGCTTTCTTGCCTTCGCCGTACAACAGGGGCATGTTCACGTCGAATAGCCCCATCAGACAGTAGGCGATGTCTTCCTCTCGCGATGTCGTTCGTTTAGAAGCCCATTTCATTTTTTGCGCCACGCTGAATCCGTCCAGCATTGATTGCACGTCGTCTTCCTCGGTACTTGTGCAACATTGACATTCGCTCTTTGTAATCGTCTTCCGGGAATATGAGGTGTCGTCAAGTTCACCTGTGAAACCCACGACCAAATGACCCTTCTCCGTCGGTATTTGGAAGCCCATCTGTCTACGATGTCTTCGCAACAATACCGATGCGTGGATGCCACTATTTTCCGACAGTTGTGCCGCAAGAGATATACGACTCCCAAGGATATCCCAGTTCATATCGTAAAAGTGCACGCGATCCGGAGCGATCATCTCCTGTAGCGTCCAACCTCGAGTGAGCCAGCGACATTCGGATAACGAACGCCGGTTCCCAACACTGATATCGGAGATATAAGCGTAGCAGATAACGGCATCGCGATACCAGCGAAACATGGAGTTGATCGCCTCCGAAAGCTCTGTGCTGCTGTCCTTGTTGATGTTGCATGTGTCTATCCAAACGAAGTCGCATCCATCTTGCAAGGCTTGTTCACATGTTTTCTTGATCTTGAAGTAGCCTTTCTTAGCACTCCATTTGGCCCTGGACGTGTCACGGATATCTTCGAAGAGTACTTCCCCATCTTCCCATGTATGCGATAAGATCGCGTAATTAGGCTTGATCGCACCCAACACGTCGTGGAACTCATATGTCCTGGCGTTCAGAAGTCTCATGGAGGTCGTGATCCGATTGCGCTGCGCTTGCGCTACCGTGGGGGCGAAGAAAGTGGGGCTTCAGCTTGATCGAGTCCTGCCGTAGAGCGACCCTGTAAAAGCATATGGTGATGTGGGAGTGTCTGCGAAGCCTGGGGGTAATGCCGAGGGTTTCATCTGAACAGTATATCATTAATGCGAGGCCTGGGAATTAGGGCAGATGCATGTAGTGGCGTGAAGACATGCCCGCTTCAGCTGCGCCCCTCACACGCATCCTGGCACGATCGCATGCAGATGACCTCCGAGGTTAGCGCCATGCACACTCAACGAATCTTAGTGCCTGGCGTCATTGGGCAGGTATTCAGTCCTCTTTGATGAAGCGCGGGTGAAGAAACACCCGTCCACGATTGTCGTACAGAATCTTTGGATGGATCGCGAGATCACGTGTGTAGAAAAAAAGGCTAATGCGATATTGAGGCAGCACAGCACATTGACTCAAAAGGAGAAGACAATCATGGCGTCAAATTCGAGGATGGTTGGGATGCAAGCAAACACGCAGAAGGGAGAACATCGTGGAGGTTCGGAAGCTTCGGTGCTACATAGTGCAGGTGAGTTGCCGCTGCCGTGCGCGCGACGCGCAACGCTAGTCTCCTTTGGTGTGCCTAGCGCGACGCGCGCACCCGTGGACGCGTTCTTGGGCGGCGGACACCTGGGCACCTACCCAGGCACAGTACTCACATTCCTGCACGACATCTCTCACACGAACCGTGCTTCTCCTGCTACAATGATGACTTGTGGACAGCTACAACATGCCCGGGTGTTCTCTACAACCAGTGGCAATGAAGGTGCATCCTGCCCTGGTGGCGTCGACTTTGCAGGGGACATCTGAACGCCACTCTGATGTATTCAACCCTAATATACACCTTTGGCGATTATCAGGAAGCAACACCAGGCCACAGTCCGAGTCAAAAGCGCGTTTGCTTGTCTATCAAGCATTCTGGCGTCGTATCAACCTCATCGATTCAGGTCTTCGAGAATGATTTTATTTATCTTGCTGGATATCTTCATGCGCTTATGGCAAGATGTCGGTGGATTCGCAAACACCGAGCTTATCATACCGTTCTGGAAAGTTAGAATGATGACACTGCGACAAGAGGAAGCAGGAATGAGAGGTGTTAACACACACGAGATCCTTTCACTCCGTACTTACTACGGCTGCCAAGCGCTGGACCGAATTCCCACCGCTACACTCAACTTGTGCGGAAGCGTAGATTCTGGGTTTGTTACCGCCTTTGGTTCTGTCTTCCCTTGATTTCCTCGATGCATTACATATCACTACACTAAATAAATTCCCCTTGTCGAAATAAAGTGCACTCGGAGGGGGACGATACACTAGAGCCACGATGTTGCTTATGATACTCCTTATCCTCTTTGCCTGGTGCGCCGTCGCGGTACTTCCTGTCTCTTTATCTTTACTAACATCAAAGCTAGCGCTCCCAAGGGAGGTATGGGCTGGTTCGGCGACTCGTTGGTAATCCCACAACCTTTCAATCGTCACGATAATAAGACCCCTAGGTTTGGCGCCGACAAGAGCGGTCGCTGGCCGAAGCACCCCGATAACAGCGGCAAGACCGAAATCGCCTACTGCTACGAAAACAAGGCTGCCAAAGATGAGCTTGAAGGAGTCATAGCAGAGGGCTGGGGAGCATGGCAGCGTTCTCTCGGTCGCTGGGGTAAAGAGAGCGGCCATTCACTGCTCGTTACACGGCGCCTTGTTCCTGGCCAGGATATCTACTGCTACCTGGCGAATGGCGATTGGAACCAGTTGTTTCCGGCAGACACCGTCGTTATCAAGCGTGGTGCTCCAGGGGGTTGGGCAGCAGCGTCTTCTTTGGGATATAGGGCTGAAGGTTCACCTGGTCGTCATCAATTGAGTATCGGCAACGCGGAACAAGCGCCGAACAGAGATCTGGCCTGGGGTAAGTTGAGAAGCAATTTTTGATTGTCCGACCCGCTAACAGGTAGACAGTCGTAGCTCACGAGCTAGGTACAACTATTTCTTCTCTATCAGTATACAAGCGGTAACTAATCGAATCCGTGCAGGCCACATCTTCGGCTTAATGCACGAACACTCACGCGGAGACCGCGACGACCACGTCCAGTTCAACTGCGCCAGTCTCACAGGCTACCACGAAGCTCTCCAAAAGGCCACTGCCGACGGCTTTACCATAAACGAACTCTGTAACATCTTTAATGTTGCGAAGCACTACCAATTCGACGCTTCAGAGTACTACAAGTGGACAAACGACGGCTTGGCATACAGCTCGGAATATGATTACGATTCGATCATGCACTACAGCTCATGGCAGAGCCACAACCCTGCTCTTGTCAATCAGGATCAGAATAACCCCGATAATTACCCTTTGCTTCGACTCACCGGTGGAAAGAATGGTCAGAAGTCGCTCCTTCCGCTGCCACGTCCGAGTGGGGAGTGGGGAATTTCTAGACTGGATAAAGAGGCTATCAAGTTGTTGTATCCGTGGGAATAACCGGTCTTCCCGCGCTGAATCAGTGATCTTTATGATACCGACGCACTGACGACCATCATCGCTTTTGGATCGCTCGATCATTCTATTCCTCGCCCACGACCGCGAATAGCTAGATAAAGACTTGGACGGGAAGTTTCCAAGAGACCCACTAAGTACACTTGGAAAGCTGCACTTGCTGTAGCTCTAATAGGCGC